GTAATCCCAGGCTGGGCTGTGCTGTCATCAGCAGTGGCCTGAAATACTGCGGATCCACTTGGCTCAGGGACCGGACAAGAGACCTCACAGAGGGTGGACTTGATTCTGAGATTTTGTTGCCAAACATGTTGGGCTTGGAGCCAGTGAGCCTTGAGGGGACGCCATTTACCTCCTCACCCCCTTCCCCACCCCCCCACCGAGGACAGACACAAGCACACCGAACAGTTTGCAAATTGTTGAATTGAGCTCAACTTTGAGGCCTATTTCTGTAGTTTTTCTTAAACAAACGTACAGAAAAAGCCACTTCAAAATCTGCCAAATTCTGGATGCTCTGAACAGCCAAGAAGACGGAGCAAATCTAAAGTCAGGTGGAATTTCTTGCCGAGAGTGCGCTATAGTTTTAAAGCTGACACCAGTGTCTGAAGGCTTATGACATTGTAAGCTCTGCCAAGGAGATTCAGTGAGGTGTGACTGCTGGAACGCAAAATCACTGGCCGATGCCAAACACTCCAGCTACACAAATTCATTAATTTTCTTGCGGATAAAACAGGAACTAAAATGTCAACACCTGTGTGGTCTGTGCCAATGACAGGCACAATATGTGCTGTGGTATCAAGGAGACCACAGTGTGCGTACATGTGTGTGTGAGAACACAATGTCACGCATGTTGACATCAGATGCTGTATTTTTGGCCCAGAAATATCCTGTTTACATTGACTGGATACCATACCACCCACTGCCCAGAGAATGACACAGACCCACTTTTCTTCTCTGGTTATTTGCTCCTTTGCTGATCTCAGCTGGGATGACAGTGGGAGCTGTACAATAATCATGATAATAATGCGTGCATTTGTTACAGCGTCCTTATCATATCTCTCATATCTTATATTATTATTAAGATATTATTATTATTATCTCTCACAGGGCTTCCCAGAGTATGGGATATTGTTATCATGAGTCTCAACCAGCCGTGGAATGAAAGACTGCCCTCTGCTCCTCACTGTAAATCTCTGGGAGGAACAGCATCGAGAGGGGCTGGGCATTGCACCCCATAGTCAACGAGGCAGCCAACACTCACTGTCCGGTGTCTAACACCAGCCATCATCCCAGCGGGAGTCAACACGTTCACAACCACACACCTCAAAACTGTGAAACTACAGCACCAAACATATTCCCATTGAAAACCTCAAACACACACATACACAGCTAAAAGCATGACATAACCTAACCCTGAAACTAACCCTAACCATAAAGGGACATCATTGGCATATTGGAGAGTCTTACACACGGTTTGGATTGTTGTCAGGGGGAACCTGTCCTGAAATCATGGAACGGTGTCATGGGATCTTTAACATTCATCTGGACAGGCAGACAGCACCTCGGTTTAATGCTTCATCTGAAAGGATGGTACTGAGAGGGAGCGCTCCCCCCAGCACTGCGCTGACACATCAGCCAAGATTATGTGAGCTCAGAGTCCTGACATCATAGAGATGAAACCTTCTGCCCAGAGCTGAGAGTGCCTGACTGAGCCACAGCTTCCCACCTCCGCGAAACTAAACAATTCCACTCTAAACATAGCATCTCACAGTCTGACTGGAAGGTCATTGACATGAAACGTTAACTCACTTTCCTCTCTCTCTAGACACTGCTGAATGTTCCCAGCGACATCTGTTTTTATTTCAGATTTCCAGCTTGTGCAGTATTTTGCCTTTTGTTAATCTCACAATCTCATTAGTGACAAAAAATTAACAATATTTAGAGAATATGATGACTGAGGACAATGGCCCTATAAGAGCTCCGCTTGCCCACGTGGGCCAATCAAGTGAGTGGAGGGAAATTTGAATCTGTAAAGTGACAAAAATTCACTAAATATCTGGAGAGGAAAGTGCAGCCAAAAGGCAGCTGGTTTATCACTGAATCATTAGAAAACCATAAACAGTTTGTTATTTGCTTAAAACTATTCACATTCTGATAAATATGTCAGTTTTATATTCAACGATGGAGATTTGCAGGAGATTCACAGAGAATTCACACAGCAACCTGCGGAGCTGGAGAAGCGGGGTTTCTGCTCAGTGATTCTCTGCACAAAGTCTCTGTGACTAGGGGACATCTGACTCGCCAGCACTGATGGCAGTGTCGGGGCAGACACCGGGGCTCAATGCTTTACACAGAGGGTAATTAACGACTGCGATAGGTTGCCATGGAAAGTCTGCCAGCCGAGGACGGCACACAGCAGAGGCCTCTCAATCCACACTCCCCAGAGCAGCGACACAAGATAGATTCTAAATTCAAATTCCTTTGATAGAAATTGTGCTCAGATTGGACGCCACAGCTACAGACAGCACTCTCCAAATGATTTTGCCTCAGAACCCTTCTATTATAATAATAATAATCCTTACGTTTGATAGAGCGCCTTATCACGTCTTCGAGACATCTCAAACTTCTCAGATTGAAACCCCGCTCGAGAGCTGAACAGTAGAGATGATAAAGATTTAAAGCACTCACCTGTAGGCAGGTGTCCAGGGGCTGAGTCAGTGAGAGAGCGGCAGCTGACAGGGGGAGAATCTAGAGAGAATGATGGTGACAGAGTGGACACATTGCTGATGTGACTACACACTGTCTGTCAGGCCAGCTGCTGTGCAGTTTATTTAACGTGAGCATTAGGCTCCACCTGTCTGAGCCACACGCTCCTTCATTGGCCCAGATTTGTTTTCATCGTCTGTGGGTTTGACTCAAGCTGCCTCTTCCCGCACACAGCTCAGCATTGATAACCCTGAGAAACACTTTGCTCGTCATTTCATTCACTCAGTGGGATTTTTTTTTAAATAATTTGTTACAAGCCGCCTGACATTTTTGGGACTTTCTGCCTTTGCATGCTATCTGTATCTGGATTCATATCTGCTTTTATTTTGGTTAGCCAAGTTTCTGACACACGCAGAAACCCATCACTGTGCTTAAGAGCATCTGCTTTACACACTGAAGACAGTCTCCACTCTGACCGGGTTTTTCCCTATGATTTGGGTCTCGTTCTGCTCTGTGTCTGATCCTCGTTAGCTCTGTTTAACCCAGAGAGAAGCCTCCCTCCTTCCCCCACCTCCTGGCCAGGGTCTCAGTCATAGAAACACTCTCCTGTGTCTCAGTGAGGAAAGGGTTGAGTGTGTGGGCAGCCGGAGAGCTTGTGCAACTGACGAACCTCACACTGGGCTTCACCTATTTATAAATAGATGTGAGCCTCCACCCGCACAGACAGCTCCACTTTATCCTCAGATGTTAATTTAGCCCCTACCTACACACTGCTCACAGTCTCACTGAGGTTCTGAAGAACAATTTGTTTCAACAACAAAAACAAAATTTCATGTGTACAGCGCATTTCACGTCGGGAGGACGTCCCAAGGTGCTGGAGAGACAGTGTTTTGGACCCGAGCTGGGGGTCGGGGTAGGGGAGGGTGGAGGACAGGGGCGGAAGCAGGGAGATCGAAAGCATGGTTGAAGAAGAGGGTCTTGAGATGGTTCTTGAAGGTGCCGAGGGTTGGCGGCAAGGCGGATGGACTGCAGGATGGCGTTCCAGAGGGTGGGGGCAGAGCGTCAGAAGACCCACCCGCAAATGGTGGGGCGAGCAAGGCGGGGGACGTAGCAGGCCGGAGCCCGCTGAGCGTACGGAGATAGCAGGATGGTAGGGGGTTAGGAGGTTGCAGAGTTAGGGGGGAGCAAGACCATGGAGAGCTTTGAAGGTGAGGACCAGGTTCTTGAACTGTATCCTCTGTGCGATGGGAAGCCAGTGGAGTTGGGTGAGGATGGGGGTGATAGGGTCACGGAGTTTTGTGCGGGAGAGGACATGGGCTGCTGATTTCTGGATGATCTGCAGCCTGTGGAGGGAGGAGTTGTGGAGGCCGACAAGCAATGAGATTGCATAGTCAAGCCTTGATGTAATGAGGGTTTTGGCTGTTGGACAGCCAGCAGCGTCTGCCACGATGTTCCTGACGGAGGATTCGCAGGCTGGTAGCGGAGGGAGGCTGTGGGACAGTCGAGCAGAGATAGGAGTCGAGGAAGGTGGTGGGAGAGGAGGACCGAGCGGGAGTAATGGAGGGTAGAGGACAGGGCTGGGGGCATTTTGGGGAAGCAGCTCGGGTCAGTGGTGGCAGCCAAAATGCGCACGCTAAGACTAAGAGCGAATGACGGCAGGGTGGGGGGTCAGCGAGGCAGGGCTAGCCCACTGGCCTGAATCATCGTGGGGTTTCAAACTGAAACTCAGCTTAAAAACCAACAACATACACACACATAGACACACGCACACACAAACACACACAGACACATTGACACACACATGCACTCACATAGACACATGTTTTCACACACATACACACACACACAAGCACAAACTTTTTTTAACCGAACTGAGATTTCCAGGCATCCCACCTACACATGGAAATCCCAGAGATAGATTGTTGGAATGGAATATGTTCTCTCCCTGCACGGACAGATCCTGTTTACCTGGTCCTGGAAAGTATTAGGCGCAGATTGGCAAGAGCCCGAGATTGGGGACCCGAGAGTGTGCGTTGGGGTAACTGCTGGAGTCTAACCAACTAAAACCACAGTTTGTCATTGATATTGTTTCCGGCAAACCTTCCCGCTGCTTGTCCAGTTAAGACCACCCTCCCCGTTAGGGCTTTGGCTTGCAGGGTTAACAGGAGCTGAATGGGATGAATCCTTGCCACACAATCATACATACACCCAATCTGTAACTATTTGTGGGACGCTGCTGTGTGCAATTGGCTGTCGCTTTTCACCCACAAAATATACAGTCAATTCACTTTACAGTGTGTCCTGTGAAATGCTTTAAGATGACTCGAAGATGTGATATGGCGCTATATCATATGCGAGGATTATTTTTATTATTTCACACACTTCCACACACACACACTCTCATTCATACACCCACACAGTAATGGAGACTATAGTTGGTTCCTGAGCAGGAGAGAAAACCCCCCGGATTCTTGTTGCTAATCAGGAAGCTTTGGGCACTTGATGGCACTGATGGGGGTCAGGTCAGCCCCCGACTTCCAGCCCCCAGGATTCTTCTTCTCATCTTTCTCAACGATGTAGTTTGCCATGTTGCCCACATGTAGATCACTGACCCAAATCAATCACCGAGCAGAGAGCAGAGGAGAAATCCAGGGCAGGGAGTCTGATTCTGACTCACAGTCATTCCCCTGTGTGGTCTGTACCCGCAGGTCATTGGTGAAGAGGCTTCTGGCTGTGCATTTGGAAACCCTTCTGACTCCACACCACAACACATCACTCACTCACAACAAGTATCCAACACCCACCCCAGCCCCTCACCACACCCTGTATCCCACCCACACCGACCGGTACCTTCATACCCGAGGAGAGGACAGACCTGCTTCACATTCCTTGCAATTCCATAGTACATACGCTTTCACAGTCACTGTGGGCAGGGATTCTTCCCAATCAAGCTGTTCCTAGCTAGATGAGGAGTGGGGTGTTTACCGTTAGTCTCTGGTTAAACTTCAGCAGTTACAACCATCTCACACAGTGGGGTCCCCAAGCCTGGGCTCTTGCCAACCTGCGCCTAATACTCTCTGGAATTTTGGTAAGCAGAATGCTCCCTTCCAGGGAAAGACATGGGGATTTCCATGCATAGATACATACATACATGGAACTCTCAATCTGGTTCAGAGACTCTTAAACAGACACCCGGCTGATCATGGTGATGGATTTCTATAATAATAATTCTTGCATTTGATATAGCACCTGATCACGTCTTCGAGACATCTCAAAGCGCTTCACAGAATATACTGTAAATTGAATTGACTGTATATTTTGTGGGCGAAACGCAACAACAATTGCGCACAGCAGCGTCCCACAAACAGTCGTGGATTGAGCGACCACATTATTATTATTTATTTTTTTGGAGGGATTGTTACCCCGGAAAAGCGATCCACCAATCGACTACTAACCATGTTCCTAGTTACTGCTAGGTAAACAGAGCGGTGTGAATAAGGAAACTTGCCTAGCGTTTCCACAATTAACTAACGTGTGTCAGACACTGGCTGATCCTGATGTGAAAGGCACTGTACAAAAGTAATTTGTTGTTGTTGTTGATCATAGTGATCGGTTTCTGCTTGTATCAGACACCCGGCTGATGAACATTTTTTTTAAAATGACCTCTTGGTGTTCAACTCTTTCAGGTACATCTTCTGTTGGAAATCTTTGACTACACACAAGTCAGCAGGTCTCTAGAGAAGCCATTTGAAGTTACAAATCAGGGCACACGACACTCATTCTGTCACTGAGGTCTCTTATTAAAGGAAAGTGTAACGTCATGATGAGGGAGGGAGGTGGGGTCGAGCTTTACACCAGCAACTATCTATAACTCTCATCAGAACCTCAGCTAGATAGCAGAGAGCTCAGATAACACAGCACAGAGCGCTCTTGCTGAAGGAATGAGCAGAAAGTTTATTGTGAGCAATGAAAGCGAAGCTGGGTTGTGTACTGTGATGTTCCTTCGCCTTTGCAGATGGTATCTCAGGCTTGGTCCATTTAGCTACCGCCCCTCACAGCAACAAGCTCGATATGTCCAGGTTTGTGATCCAATCTGTTCCTGCAGCAGGAATCCCTATCACTGAGGCCGGCTCATCAGTGTGATGCACAGGTCAGGCTGACACTCCAGTGCAGTGCTGGGGATGTGCTGCATTGTCAGGTGCCGTCCCTCAGGTGAGATGTTAACCCAAGGTCCTGTCTGCCTGCTCAGGTGGATGTTAAAGATCCCCGGCGCTATTCAAAGCGAGAAGGGAGTTTCTCTCTCCCGGTGTCCTGGCCAACAATCCCCCAGATAATATTGACCATTCACTTCATGGCTGATTGACAGCCAGACAGGACTTTTTAGTTTAATATCTGAGCCCTGCACAGCACTTCTGACAATCACACCCCTCCCCTCGCACTGCACTGCCCTAGATTGTAAACTGAAGGATGTGAGGTTGGAGCCCTTAACTGCCTGATTTAGAGGTGAGCTGGTTAGCAACTCAGCCAGGACAGCAGGTCACCTCTCGCTGATCCTCCCAAACCACATCCTCGTCATGGAGAGAGTCACAGAGTCAAACAGAGCCATCAAAGCCTGACGACCACTGCTCACCCAGAGCAGAGCCTTCACACGCCCTGTGCTGCCCTCTTCTGAAGAAACACAAAATAAGTAAAGTTTG